GTAAAGACTAAAGTCGTGGGTCTTGGTGACTCCAGGGGCCTAGAAGGTACTCACAAGTACCCAGAGGGATGATGACTCTTGCCATTTATATACTGCCCTTCTAGAGCTGAAGCTGGTGTAAGAGTATTCATGTGTAATTCAACAGACTATCGTTAAGTTTGCCTTTGCAGAACTTTATGAGACACATTTAATGAATGAAGGGAAAAGGAAGATATTGAGATAGCATTTAATTTGTTTTAGAGAAAAAAACCTTTAAACTCTCCCGAAAAACAGCTTTTATCAAAGTAACTCAGACATACAAGGCTCCTCAGGTTCACCGACTTGGAAGTTCTCTGCTTCCTAAGACACACATGGTAGAAATGAAGGCATGGAGCTGGGCTGTGCATGGTGTGCTGGCCCTGCCCAGATTCCCAAGTGAGCGAGGGTGGGAGGAACCTCAGGCTCTGAATTAGTGTTACTTGCCCAAGGTAATGCAGCTCACTCAGAGCAAACCTAAGGCTTGAGTCCACATTTTTTGCAATGAGTGACAAACTAGCAAAACATTTGTGTTTGGCCAGTGTGACGGACATTTTTCAAGAGAACACAAAAACAAACAAGACAGTCTTTGCCCATAAGAAATAAAAAGGCTGTGGAGACAAAATTGACTGCAGTTCTCTTTTCCCCATACAAATTCATTTATTAATAATTAGCATGAGCCGGGCTTGGTGGCTCAGCCTGTAATCCAGCACCTTGGGAGGCTGAGGTGAGTGGATTGCCTGAGCCCAAGGGTTCAAGACCCGCCTGGGCAATTTGATGAGACCTCATCTCTACAATAAATCAAAAAATTAGCCGGGCGTGGTAGCGTGCGCCTGTAGTTCCAGCTACTTGCAAGGCTGAGGTGGAAGGATTGCCGGAGCCCAATAGGTCGAGGCTGCGGTGGCCGGGAGCGGCCACTGCACTCCAGTCTGGGTGACAGAGTGAGACTCTGACTCCAAAAAAAAAAAAAAAAAATTAGCATGCTAATTATATAATCCTTTCTATTTATTAAAGCAAGTTCCTATAGCTCTCGCTCCTTGCAAATACTTTGCAAGGGTACTTATTATATGCGCTTGCTTGAAGGTAGAAAAGTACTATTTCATAGAATGTACTGTAATTAAACACGCTTACACATTTTGATGGGCTTCATTCCATCTGTTTTTTTTTAATAATTCAGGTTTTATAGTATTAACATATATTTCTAACATTTCCTCCTGTCTACTTCTTAGAAATTTTTTTCTTAATCTTTTTAGTTTTTAACATATTTCTATGCCTGTATTCCTAAAATGTTTCTTGCTTCTTGAAGACAAGTAGTTTGTCTTTTTGTTTATTTCCCCTAGTGGCTCACTGAATGAATCAACTTGTAAGAAGGAAGTAGTCTAACGTGGGAGTGGCGCTGCTAGGAACTGTGTGAGTGGCCTTGGAAGTCAGTCTCCCATGGCTGGACTCCTAGCTTTGCTTACCAGCACTGGAGTGAGGGCAGATGACAACTTCTCAAGGCTTTGGTTTCCTGACTTGCAAAATGGAGACAGTCCCCCAGGGCTTCCCACTAATTAAGAGAAGGGGCAGCTCAACCTAGACTTGAATCGTGGCTTGACCATTTTAGTCTGTGCATTCTGGCCAGACTGTTCACCTATTCTGTACCTTAGTTTCTTTCTCTGTAGAGTTGAGTTATAACAGCACTTATCATATAGCATGTTGAGAGTATTAAACGAGTTACTATATGAAAAACAATTAAATCAGGATCCCGGACATAGTAGCATGTTTAAACTATGCTGCTTGTTAATACTAACAACAATTTTGGAGAGGCTGCTGATAATAAAATGGTTAGCAAAAAGATGTTGCAAAATATTTTCCTGAGACTCCTCAAGAAAAGCAAAACCAGAAGCAAGTAATCTAGAGATGAACAGAAACAGAAAAAGGAGACCAACAACCTCTTGGGCGACTGCATGAGAGAGAGAGTCCATTCCAGAGGCATTAAAACTTCAAGCTGCAAGCTGAATAGTTCACTAATAATCTGAGTAGTTAATTAAGAGGAGAAAGGAAAAACCCTTCAACTGGGTCCCTCTCTAAAAGCACAACAAAAAGCAATGCAAATGAGCCTGCAATGAACTGAACAACACGTGTTGCCAGTGTGACCTCCTGTAGTTGAGAGCTTGCTGAGGAAAGAGACTGAGGGGCGGAAAGGTGATGACTGTGACTTGGACATCGAGAGTACCAGGACAGACCTCAAACACCCAGCAATGAGAGCTAGTGCAGGACCTGGGAGGGGATATGCCTTGGAATGGAGTGTGAGGGTGATGTCACTTGGGAGAGGAGAAAGGGTCCAGGGTCCCAGGAGGAAGATGCTCCCATCTTTCAGGCAGAAGAGAGTTCAGAGCGTGGATAGCAGCATCCTTATTTCAACTTGTTTCCACTATCAGCCTACATACAGTGTGTATGCCTTAAAAACCCAGAACAAAAAACCTTGACTGCATAAGCCACCTGAGATGCAGGGATCCAGTGGGCTGCCTTCACAGAAAAGGCCTTGGAGTTGAAGCAAACTTTTGGCTCATAAATATTAGAATTGGAAGGAACTTCTCAGGTAATATAATCCAATTTTCTCATTTCCAGAGGAAAAGTAATTCACAGAGAGAGTAAGCAATTTCCCAAGGACACCGAGCAGATTGGTTGAGAACTTTTCCAGGCTCAGCACTCCTAAATTAAGAGACTTCATATTCAATGATTCCAAGAAACAGGCGTTTGTTCAAAAAAGAAATCCATTCTATATAAATTACCTTCCCGCTATTAATTCCTTTGGCATAAGCTCTTCCTTAGTTGCTCATAAGAGATGTATCAGATAGTCCAAGGCTCAGACTTCACTTGTTATGAGTAGAAAAATAAGTTTTAGCCGGGCTCGGTGGCTCAGCCTGTAATCCTGCGCCTTTGGGAGGCTGAGGTGAGTAGATTGCCTGAGCCCACGGGTTCGAGACCCGCCTGGGCAGGTGACACCTCATCTCTACAATAAATCAAAAAATCAGATGGGCATGGTGGCGCATGCCTGTGATTCCAGCTACTCGGAAGGCTGAGGCGGAAGGATCGCCAGAGCCCAGCAAGTCGAGGCTGTGGTGGCCGGGAGCAGCGGCCACTGCACTCCAGTCTAGGCAACAGAGTGAGACTCCAACTCAAAAAAAAAAGAAAAAAAGAAAAAGAAGTTTCAAGACTGAATTATCTAAGAACATAGAGACTGATTTTGAAGATGACACGAAGTCCTTATGGTTTAAGGGTCAAGTCCTAGGCCTTCAGCCGCCTCCAATTCTGAGAACAGGGCTCCCACCTTGCCTCCAATTACATTCTGAGCAGAAGCCCATATTTTCTGTGCTGACCTTAACTTACAACCTGCTTTTCCAACTGCCACTAATGCTTTCTTCTTTCCATGACAGCCAAAGAAACCTGGCTTTGAAGACACCTACTACGCCCAGTGAGGGTGGTGGGTAACTCACAATCCTGTCTCAGCTCAGCAACAAACTGCTGCTACAGGTCGCAACTACCTGGGGCTGACAGGGAACAAGCAGGCGATTACTGTCAACCGGGACTTAAATTCCAGAAGCTTACTGGAATTAATAACAAGGAAAACTGTTTATGACGTGGTATAAAGAAAACCAAGCAGAACACACGATCTCTACACACTCTGATTATATGCACAATGAGGGATTATAGAAAAAGTTTTCTTTTGGGTATTCTAATATAGGCTTCTTTAATGACAGAAATAGCTAGAATGTAAATTAACAAAGCAATGTAAGGCAAAGAAACAATGCTGCACTGGTAGCACTGAAAATGCTTAAAATCTGTAGAAAAAATCTTTAAACATGATACAATACACTGATAACTGCTCTTCCAAACTGTAAAGTACTAATAAATCAGTAAGACCAGACTTTCTGAGAAACACCAGGTGAAAGCTGAGAAGGTGCCTGGGCCTGCCCCTGTGTTTGCCTGGCCTTGCAGACAGGTTTGCTAAACAGATGCGAACACCTCTAGAAAGCACTCAGGCATGACCACAGGGAGGCCGGGCTTTGTTGTGGAGGAGTAAACGTTTACTACAGTTTCCTAGTGGGTACACTTCATCTTCACTTGGAATATTCTTGTTATTTTCAGAAGTGAGGAAAGTCTGGGAATTGTGCCAGATTATTTCATTCTTTCTAAATTATCTATTAATGTCTAATTTAGATAAACAAAACATTAAAAAGGTGCTAAACTTAAATGTCTTATTGGTAAAAATGACTTAGAAAAAAACACGCGTTAGGTTAAAAGCCTTGATAAAAGGATTCTGTGTATTTAACAAAACCTTCATCAACTTCCAGGAAGGTGGAATGTAAATAGTGCATTTGGGACATGGTTTCACTCATTTTGAAACCCTTCCCTGATCTTCCTTTTTGAAGACATGCATATATCCATTTCAGGCTGTGTTCTGTCTCTTGAGTAAGACTGGTGACAAATGGGAAAATGAAAATGGCTGTTGTCTTGGTGTAGCACCATGGAGATACTCTGGAGAGATGGACAGGGCGTCCACCTTCTGAGCCATAAGCGCATGCGCGAGGGTGATTATTGGGAGGGAGGGACAAAATCAGAAGACAATACTACAAAGCCCAAGTTTCAGATCACAGACTTTCCAAGGCTGTAGCTGGTGCCTGTGTCTTTTTCGCAACAGGCATTTAGAACTACATCACAGAGATAGGGCTGTGCTACTTTATTAATAACATGTGTCTGAAGAGCACTTACCACAGTGTCTGGTGCATAAATGCTTAATGAATAGTGGCTATAATTATCCTTCCCATCATTATGGGCAACTAAAGGACTGTGTGCTTGCATTAACCTCACAAATCTGTCAGGTAGCAAATAATACAATCTTACAATGTGTTTACAATATTAAAATCTTGAAGGACTAGCATATTAACAAAACTTCTACAACTCACTGCAGAGCATTTTGGAGAGGCTTTTTTTTTTACCTTGTGGTCCATACTGGCTCATCTGTGGACCGTAAGTCCCACTTGAGTTACTCTGCTGAAAGCTACTGATTCCAGGATGCATCTGGCCCCCAGGAGAAGGATGAGGCGACATGGATGGTCCTGTCTGCTGAGGTCCATACTGAGACATCTGAGGATTTCTTTGTGTGCCTGCCATAAAACCTAAGTGGGAAATAAATGGAAACATATAAATGCAGGTGTTTCATAATCTCTGCATACAAAAATGGACATGGAATTGTGTGGAAGGGGAGAAGGTTGATGGTACTGTGAGATCCTCTAAAGAAACATCTGCGGACATCTCAGTCCAGTCTCGAGGGTCTAAAGGTTACCAGGAGCAGACCCTAGTCCTCACTCTGACTTCTCATGAGAGTTCCTAGGAACCCAGAGGATTGTGGACTTGAGCCAGGGAAAGGGAGGAAGAGGAGAACGACCAGCTGCTAAGTCTCTCTTATAGACGAAGTCCCTACCAAAGGCAACTTTGTGAGCTGGGAGCCCGTCTGCAAATCCTCCTTCTCATTGGCCAGCCCCACTGGGCATGCCCAGCACAGAGCCTCTATGCACTTCTAATCCTGGGATGTGGGCCTGTGGTCACTCAAAGATCCAGCTTGCCAGCCTAAGGCAGCACAGTGCTTCCTGCACAGAGGGGCTGTTCTCCCCTTGGGTCTCCTAGAGGGACTCCTGAACAGCCTGTGGACCTGTTCCTGCTTAAGGCATACACACTATGAACCACAGGAGGTTTTCAGTGTCACCTGCTGTTCCAAGATAGAACTTTTCCCTTCCTCCCTCAAACCTGTTCTGCCTGGGCTCTTCTCCACCTCTGGAATGGCACCAGCACTCCCACAGTGCTTAGAGACATGGCTGGCCACCTGCAGGCCTACCCTTTCCTTCTCTGTGTGTGGCCGGCCATCAGAGTCCCAGTGCCTCTACTTCTGGCTAGACCCACAGTGGCTTCTCCTCCTCATCTCCACTTCCATCTGCAGATATCTCAGTTCAGTGTGCAGGGCCTGAAGTCAGTCCCACCTGCTGTCTTCTCCTGCCCCAGCCTGCAGGGTCTAACCCATCTCTCAGTACTCCTGGCCCCCCAACTTGTGTTTTACTCTCTTTGGTTCATTTTCTATAGAGCTGCCAAAATTATCTTTCAGGAATAAGAAAAGAAAATCAGAGCACACCTCGCCCCTGTTATGTTGACCACCAGGCTTGCTACTGAAGCAGGAGTGGAATGCGAATGTGAGACCTGGCCTAGGAGACACATGTATCCTGGCAGCGTTCTCTCCCTTCAGCCTACTTCCTGTACAGTTTTCCCTCCCTTGGCCACCCTGCAGGTCCTAGAAGACCTAAAGTAACAAAGCTTCCTGCCTTCCCACCCTCGCCTCCAGTCCACGGCACTCAGAGCTGCTAGTCCCACCCCTGACATACGACCTGAAGTCACACCAGCTTGCTGCTTCTCACTCACCTGCCTTCACAACCCTCTTCATAACCTGGACCCATTTTAGTTTCAACCCACTTATCATCTCTCTTCCTCAATAAAACATAAGCTCCTTGAGGGCAACGATCATGTCTGGGTTTACTAGTGCCTGGCAGGGTGTGTGGCACATGGTAGCTATCAAAGTCTACCTTTTTGGGGGATGAACGGGTATTAAATTCTTCATGCACCCAACAGTGCTGAACAACATACAACAGGTGCTCGATAGGTGGATATTTCAAATGGATAAAGGAAATACATTTTTAACTTATGCAGAACTAGCAGAATGAAGGGGCTCACCCCTGTAATCCCAGCACTCTGGGAGGCCAGGGCAGGAGGGCTGCTTGAGCCTAGGAGTTCAAGATCAGCCAGGAAAACATGGCAAGATCTCATTTCTACAAAAAAAAAAAAAAAAAAAATCAGCTGGATGTGGTGGTGCGTACCAGCTACTTGGGAGGTTGAGGCAGAAGGATCACTTGAGCCCAGGCAGGTGATTGAGGCTGTGATGAGCCATGATTTTGCCACTGCACTCCAGCCTGGGTGACAGGGAGATTCAACAACTCAATGAATAAATAAATAAATAAACGAAACAGAACTATAATGCCGAGTACATCCATATACCAGGAGTTCAGGCAAATATAAGTGAGTATGTAGAATGAACTGTGAAATAACTCACTGGGACAAAGAGTACCCCAAATCAAGATATATATCTAAGAACAAACTGATGTTATCAAAGTAGCACACTAACAAAGGGCAGTTTGAAAAACAACTCTCAGGACCTAGGAGTTTGCGCAGGGGAGAGGATGCCCGTGTTACCAGGCAAAGCTCTAGCTGGAGATGGGCAGGGCCTGCTCCAGGGCAGACCTAGAGCAGTAGCTTCCAAAGTCAGTCCGCTGAGGCAGCCAAGGGCAAGGGGATGCCTGGATCTGAGGTCAGCTTCAGAAGGCCAGGGTCTACTGTATTTACCAAGACCACAGTTTACATTTCAGGAAGAAAAAAAGAGATCTCCGAACACTGCTTCTGTCTAAAGAGACAGACATAAGAGTAAGCAGAGCTACTCCTTATGATCCTATTTAATATATTTATAAAGAGAAGCCTTATGAAATTGGGCTCAATTGGCAGCTCCCAGATATAAATCATCATTGAAAACGTTTGCTTTTTCAAATCTGAAAACAAACAGAAATCAGAACACTAAAATTACTAAGAATGATTGCATCTTAAGATTTTACATGAAATATTAATCTAAGCTTTACCGTAAAATTCTCAAGAGTTTCAGATAGAGTCCTGTTTAATAAAAAATGTGTTTCAATTCCATACAGATTGTGTGGGTCTCCTCCCTCCATTCTTTGAAAAAAAATAACTGCTTTCTCTTCAGTAGTTAAGGAAAATGACACAGGTCCTTTAATTAGCGTTAAATTTCACTTCAACCATGAAGGTATTTATGCCCAAGGACTTAGAAGCTCTGATAATGTACTATACCCTTAAGTTATTGTTGCCTCTGGGACACTCCTAATAGGCTTACGGCTTATTCAAATGAGTTCTAATAATTCTTACCTAGACTAGTTATTTCTTCACTTCCGACTATTTACTCAGTCCTTAAAAATACATCTGTCACCTTCTACTTGAACTATCTCAATTATCACTGTCGTTTTGCATGAAATCAAGTTTGTAAAAAGGTTCCACAAGGAGCTGGAATCTTAAAGCTCATTCGAATGTAATGTGTCACAGCATCAAATCCCAGAACTTAGGGTCAAAGTTCTATGGGGGATGGGATCCACCAGCTCACACAGAAATTTATATTGGAAAGTTAATTTTTTTTCCTGTATACTTTTGAAACAGCACCACTTACAGAAGCTTCCTGAAATCTTGTTTTATATTTCTGGTAAGACTCATCCTTTTCCCTGTGTGCCCCAAGACCATGAAAGGAAAAGGTAACATATTTCCCTGATTCCTTTCTAAGTTATCATCATCTAAAGGCAGTTGGTTGGGAATAGAAGGCCTAGATTATGGTCCTGTTTATGTCAAGAGCTCAGAATCTAGATGAGACAGACATGTCAACAAATATATTGCAGTGGGTATTGAATCCAGCTAGCTGTGTGACCTCAGGCAAATCATAATTTCTCTGAGCCTCAGATCTCTCACTTTAAGATGAAGATGCGGTCCCTGAAGGATTAACTGAGATAGTTTGTGAAAGTGTTCTACAATCTGGGAACTGAACATTCATCATATTAGCACAAGGGAGGAATTGGCAGCTGCTAGACACTACCCATGGGTGGGGGCGGGGAGGAATATAACAATACACAGGGTACCCTGGCCCTAAACCAACAGGGGAAGTGAGGGCCAGTTGGAGGTCCAAACTTCACCTGCATGCAGCCTACTTGTATAGCAAATCTTGACTTGTACCCCACATCTCTACAATTTAAAAAAGTGTCCTGCAATCTGAAATGCAACACACAAAAAAGTAAGAAATGATGATGCTAACTTTTTGGTTTATAAACTGCCAAGAATCTATTTTAACTCCTGGATACCCCACATATTCAGATGCAGTTTCCAGCTAGAAAGAACAAGCTAGTTTTTACTGTTACATCTGTTTTTTTCTTACATTTCTGGAATCTACATTACTCCAGTATTTGTGTAACTGTGTATAATTCTAAAGGGATAAAAAGGGTGTACTATGGGCAATAACCCTGCCATCTCTATCTTTAACCTCAGAGTTCCCCTGGCCAAATGGTTTTTCAATGTGTTCTTTCAGAGACACTTTATAAATTTTGGTTCTGTTTTTTCTGTATTTCTTTTATCACAAATAAATCTGAATGTTGCTTAATAACTGTTTTAATTTTCTTTTCTAGAACTGTCTATTTATAGCTCTTGGAGCAAAAGCCATATCCTTAGAAAGAGGGTAACTCCATGACACTTCATGGAGTCGGAGAAACACACCCGGGATCAGACGCAGGCTCAAGGCTGCATCTACCAGCCACTGTGTGGGGCAACAGGCTCCTTTGTATGAGGCAGCAAATGGCCCCACGTCTTACAAGATCATTCTGAAAGTCAAAATAAGAGAAACATATACAAGAGTGCTTTGCTACACTAAAAATCCCCATGAAAATGCGACACAAAGGCTTTACTATTGCCTCTATATAGTGATTCTATGAGCCCTTTATTCATTGTGTGAGTTCCATTCAAAACTAGTAACTCAATCTACAGTAATGCCACACAAATCTACTCCAATTTTACTCCGGCATTCATGGAATTATGGCAAAAATCAGAGCATATTTTTTAAAAAGCAAAAGAGGTGATCCTTGCCCTCGAGAAACCTAAAATTTAGTCACATAGGAAACAAAATCCATCAACAGGGAAAAATGATAAGCTGAAATTACAAAGCAACTTCTAATTTTGTATAAGATAAAATATAGTAACACCTTAGGCAATTGGATATAACTTCTTTTCTTTCTCATTTAGGAATCATGCCTGAGGTGCCAGGTGCTGGGATCTGAACAGCGAGCAAAACAGACACCTGCCCTCACAGAGCTTAACTTCTAGAGGGAGAGACAGACATTCAACAAATAACTCATATAAATATGTGAAGAGGACAATAAAAGAAGAGGGCGGGTGTTATGAGAATACGGTGGGAAGACGTAGCTCAGCCTGGGAGAGAGGAGGGTTTCTTTGAAGAAGTCATATTTAAGCCAAGACCTGCACA